AAGGATTAAGCTGGCCAGATGCCTATAGATTTTCTGCAGATTTTCTATGGTCAGATGGGGCTAAACTGTGTGAATGGAGGAATCTCCCACTGGGCCAAGCTTCAGTATCTTGCTAGTCGGCCCTGCTGGCTGTCAAAATACATGAACAATCTGATTTGATTTGATGCAGGCACTGTTCGGGTGTTTTGAGAGCCAGACTAGCAAGATACTGAAGCTTGGTCCAGTGGGAGATTCCTCCATCCACACAGTTTACGTAGATGGAGGAATATGCAGAAAATCTATAGGTGTATGGCCAACTTAAGAATGTCTATCAAGCTGCTTCAATGGTTACCTGCAAAGTCTGAGAGCTTGATAGAGATTGACCAGTGGCAAGACAGTTTTGCATCAGTGACAGGGACACCCAAAGCAAATCGGTCAGTCAAGGGGGGCCGATTACCCTTTGAAAGCCTTTTTCAAATTAAAATGAACCATATTGGGGTGATACTGCTGTATGTAAACAAAGCTAACTGTAAAAGAAAAAAAAATCAGTTCCACAACAAAATATGTGTTGCCAGGGTACGCTGTTGCTAAGACTGTTCATGAAAATTGTACTGTTCCATATATCTACACACAGCTTTCAGGCGTCCTCCAAGCATGTTGTTTAAAGGATTTGTGTATTTTCAATGTTGTCCTCAAATCCTCAAGCAAAGACCCTCTCCTTGCTGTCCTGATTTTTTTAATACATTTTTTTCTGTATTTGAACATGTCTCCCATTACAGTGTCCAGCTTCCTATCCATTTTCTTGACAATAGTTTATTAGCTCTTAAAATGGCTAGAATTAAACAACAACATCTGCCATCTTCCCCCATAGTCATCAATGGGATACTCTTCTAAGTTTGGGTTCACTGAATTTCAAATAAGATTAGCTGAAAATCATTATTTGGTTTATGTCATCATCCTTATTTAGAACCTCTGTCAAGTTTTATTGTTGCCTGCCTCCATTTAGGAAATGTTATCTCTTTTTCTGTTTGAGAAGAGTTAGAATAGGAATTAAGGGAACATCCTCCCTTCTTATTCTAACTCAAATAGAGTGGGAAGGGTGTAACACCCTGTCAGATGTATATTGATGTCTATGTCCCCGTTAGAGAAATCTCTCCTCACTTTCAGTCCCAGTGACAGGCACTAGAAACAAAAGAAGCAAGGGGAAATCTCATCAGTGTGGAAGTCATTCCTCCAGCATAGGGTTTTTATAATGTTTTCTTGTTATTTCTTTACCTTTGTCTTGTGGCCAAAGTTCACTGCCTCACATAAGTACATAAATTTGTACAGCAGTATTTTGGCCCTACCATGCCTTCCTATTTCCCATGAGCCCACTCTACAGGAAGAGTAAACAGATGCTTTCTGAGAAACAAAGACTCAATTTTAGGACTCAGAGTAAGAAGAAGCATCTAGAAGCCTAGCCACCATGTTTAAGCTCTTATGGAGGAAACGCCTGCCTCTTCTCTTAAGGGCAACATCACTGTTCCACTCACCCTGTTCTATTCAATAAAGCTTCATGATTTGTTCACATAGTCTGGATTATTGGAAAAAAGGAGGGTTTAGCTGCATGTCTAGCTGCACATAAAACACATGGTAATGTGTGGTGAAGAAAAAACATTGAAACAGTGGCTATGTAGCAAGTGGAATATAAGACAGTATCTACCAAGAGGCCTGCTAACCTTTCAGTGCAGTTACCTGCAATACTGTAGTCTCTACAGAGGCAAGCATTTACACAGAACCAACATGTCGCGCATGTCGCACATCTTTATATAAAACAAGGCCCCAAGTCTTCAGTTCCTCTACATTCTTATCTAGAAATAGTGCACACGCAAAAAATGAAAAAAAAAGGAGAGTATGATTAGAGGCTGAGAAAATCTGAAAGAGGGCAGCATGAGGCGCCCCTGAAAAAACACTCCTAGAAGCAAGACTACAAAAATTTGCTGTCAAGAAGAAAGCAGCAGCAGCCCACATAGCTGAAGCCAAGGCCTAAGAGTCAGCTAAATACCAAAGCAGTCAATGCTCCAGACGCAGCAATATACTTAGTCCAAAAGCTGAACCTCATGATTCTCTGCAACATACTTTAGAGTAAATCTATCAACACTTCAGGTCAAGCAGCAGCACTCAGCTAGAAGAGATGAGAAAAGACACCGTTGAGGAGACAATCAAAAGATGCTGCATGGCACCACTGCAAGTCAGCTACAATGGTCAAGCTGGCAAACAAGGGAACTTCAAAAAGGTGACACCACTACTGACAGAGTGTCCACATGCAAAGTACCCAGGTCTGGAAATTATCCCACAGGATGAGCTTTTACTCCAGAACAATAGGGTAGAGGTTGTCTTTAACCAGAGACACTTAAAAGTCATGATTACACACCACCTTTCCACCAAAACCATACACAGTCAGCTTGTCCAAATGCTAACTAAGCTCTTTGGAGGATGTAAGTTAGTTATTAAAGGACCTTGAAAAGTTCAATGATCATCCTACAAACTACAGGGGCTAGCGATCTTCCTTCTATGCTATTAGAGGGTTAAAGTTGGTGCAGTGAAGTGACAGACCTCTTGAACAAATGGCCTGGAAACGTGTCTGCTGAGCACGCCACATAAATAAGCATAATAAATATTAACTACCCATAGACTGGCCTTAAAATGAGGCAGACTTCATGAATGTTATAGTTCAACAAATGTGATAGAAGGTGCACTATTTGAAAGATGTGATAGCTTTCCCAAAATACCTAACAAAGCCTATCAAAAAAAAAGCACAAATGACATGCTAATGAAGCTTCAGGTAGTCAAATCTGAACAGGATTTCAAAAGACTTGCGTTCCTTGATACAGTCAGAGGTGTCAACCCCATTGTACAAAAGTGTTCCTATAACTTGCAAGAGCAGTGGATCACACATGGCTCCCGATTTAAAAGACAGTACAATGTTCCATTCACCGTTTCTTTGTTTTTGAGGACTTTGTGTGCCTGCAAGCTAAGAGAAGATATGATCCTTGTTTTCAATTTACATTGTCATGAGCTGATCCTTCAAAACTTAACATCCGCAAAACCTCCAGTAGCAGTACAATCAACAAATGTAAATCCTCCAGATTATTTTCTCCAATACAGGAGGAGAATGTGTCAATGACCAGTTAAGTGTAACCCACATGGGGAGTGGTCTGAAAGGATCCTGGATAAGTATCCCCTTTGAGCAGGGGAAAGAGATGTTCACTGAGTAATATTATATAAATTCTAGACATGTAGTCATAGGTAGAAGGAGTATACCTATTGTTCCAGACACATACACTGAGTGGCCAGATTATTATGACCACCTGACGTTTGTAGGCAAATTAGCTATAATTAGCTATAATTTTGCGCTGAAGTTGCTAGAGGGCCAGACCATTATAAATAGGGAAGCAGGTTGTTTACCACGACAGTAGAAGTGATTTTTTTCTGAAGATATGGGTAAACAACACGATTAAACAGCCTTTGAACGTGGGATCATTGTTGGCGCTCGGAGCCATGGAGCGAGTATCAGCAAAACAGCAGAATTCGTTAAATGTTCAAGAGCAGCTGTTGTTAAAGTGTTTAAAGACTGGACTGTCAGCCGAAAATCTGGGTCTGAACGTGCGCATTGTGGCTGTCAGCTACTAGTCAATGTTAGGGCAGAACGGAGAGTGGCAAGACTAGTACAAGACAACAGAAGGGCAACAGTGCAGTGTCAGATTCCTCGCATCACCTTTCAACATCTCGTGGAGTCACCAGGCGGCCCAACGAAGTCATCTCGTGGAGTCATCTCGTGGCCCAACGAAGTACTGATGGGGTGGTCATAATAATCTGGCCACTCAGTGTATTGTGCCACACATCTACTAACGGAATAGTTAATGTTGTGAGGGGGTTTGCTTGGGGCTCCCAATTGGGAAGGTGTAGGCTATTCAGACTCACATTGAGAACCGTATTGAAGTTCCCCAACCACACAACCTGCACAGATGGAATGTCTAATATGAAGACTAAGCCTTCCTGTATTACAGTGATATTGAAAGGGGTGGAACAAAGAATGTCAGTACTAGGAGAGGTTGAAAAAAAGTACCATATAAAAATATTGCCCCCCACTGTCCAACTTCAAGACATTCAATATAAACTGTACTGCGGTATATTGTTCTTGCTGATGCGACTTCCATAAATTTTCCTCTCAATCTGTTTTACTATAGCATTTAAAACCTGATGGGATTATAACCCTTCCTAGTTCTATCTAGAACTAAAACAAGAGCTTTAGCTTGTCTGTAGTTGGCCCTTGCCAACCATTTCTAAGCATATAACAATGCTGGCATGAATAGTCATCTCTATTGACAATACTAAGTTATCCATTGAGTGTTAACATCATCCCTGTTTACATAAAACAACCCAGTGTGTATCATAAAGAAGAATGAAAATAACTTTTGTTAAATTGCATGCATTAGTCCGTTTTGTTATGTGCAGGCTCTGATAAAGTCCAGCAGGGGCAAATTATACTACTTAAAATTTACACAAACATGTGCATTACCCAGCCTTTACTTCCTTTTAGTAATCCTATACGGTTATAAAGCTTAGTCCCACTTTTACTTTACCAAGAAGGATTCTTTCCTCAGTGCAGTGTGTACCCACCCCCAGCACACACATTAGTCTTTATTTTATATACTGCCCCAGCACACACTTTACTTCCCATTACCACCAGCAGCAGTGAGATGGTGATCCCTCCAATACACAGAGCTATCCTTCTTATATCCTGCATATAGTATAAAAGACACTTTAGAGCACTTGCACCGATTCAGCTTTACCATCTGGTATGCTCCCATCTCCCAGTCTGTTCTTCTCTTTAGCATTCACTCCCACTTCCAGCTTTTCTTTGCACACATAAATGCAACACACCATTCCAACTAAGCCTTTCAAGGAATGGCCACAGTTTGCTAGTTATAAAAAAAGAAGTACCTTTGCCATGATACATTTCACAGAAATACAATTACCTGTTTGATAGGCAGAGCTCTACCACCAGTGATAGGGTCACCTCGGCTATCAAAACTCCTCTTCTCCATATCACTGCCCCTTCGGGTCTGCAAAAAGACAGACATTTCTCATGTAATATTCGTTTCCGTGAAAAGGAGTGCCAAATAGGAGACAAATAGCAGATTTTCAGTGCAAGGTACAATAGTGGTGATCATTCACATGAGACTGATTGATTTGACAGGATGACTTTTCAATCACGTTTTGTATTCAATATAAGCAGCAGAGCAATGAGGCAAATCAGTTATGCAGCTCCAAATGACATGGGAAGAATGGCTTATAGTGTCCCTAACAGCAACAGTCTTTGTGAAAGAGGTAGAAAGCCAGTGGGTACATTGTTGCTGCTTGGATTTATATTTCTTAATACGTTATGGTGATAATTCCTAAAAGTTACATTATATGTGCATGTCAGTTCATTTTCTGACATATGTAGGTGGATTTGGGCTTTCTATACAACACAAAAAGAAATGTATTATTATTTTTGTAATTATACAGGATTTATACAGTGCCAAAATTTTGTGCAGCACTTCACAAAAGAAAGGGAACCAGTACAGTTACAATAAATGTTCACCTTTCCTCCTTATTCAGCAATACATCGGCTTGTAATTTAGGGTTAACTAATTAGTGTCTTTTTCCCCACAATATATAATTCTTAGTTTAAGACCCAATTCAGTGGTGTTCTCTACAGCATTCTTCTGTGAGCACAGGGGGGCTGATAAAGCATCCTCAGGGGTGTGTCCTTGATGTCCTGGTATCAAAGGAGGTGGGTTGAATGATGCTGGGCATCATTTAGCCTGAAAGAGGACCAGTATTGGATCACAGAGGCAGTGCTGAAGCTTGGAAATGCAATTAATGCTAGTTAAACTTTTTTTTAATGATATTTAACACACCAACACCCTTAAACTGTAATAGTAGACGCCACCTTTAATTAGTCTACAAGGCTGATAATAATTAGCTAATTATCAAGGTAATTATCAAGGGTTAGGAAACTCTTTCAGTTACTACATAAGGGAAAAAAAACAGTGGTGTATGCTTTTATTTTCCAGAACAATGGAGAAATCTTACCAGAAAGACCCAATTACTGATATTTCATTCTACATACCACATTCTAATTGCATTTGATACTAAGAAACAATGCGTTGGTATAGTAATGAGTAATAGAAAAGCATACTGGGACCTTAAAGGGTTATTAAACCCTTGCATGTTTTTGCATATCTACTGCTAGCAAGGCATGGCAAATACCAAGTTATCTACAGTACATTGTTTTATTATTTATTAATAAAGTAATCAATATTGTCTGATATTAGCTGTTAATGCAGGTTTGGGGTTGATTTTCTCCCCCTGTAATCAGTCCTATATACACTTAAAAGTTGGGTTGATCACCCTTATTGTGCAGATGACAACATAGATATATGTACAAGAAATACATTCATGCACTAATGTGAATCCAAATAATTCTTTATTTGATACTGCCTGAAAAATATCTGGCCAGGTAATTATGGGGTATGATTATGATACTGCTGAAATCAGTACATATAGTATTGTATAAAGCAGGGGTAAAAATGTCAAGTCCTGAGTTACTAGCCAGGCCTTAAGAGTTACTCGCCACCAGCTGCCCACCTAACCCCTACCCTGCCCCGGCCTTAACTCCGCCCCTAAATACACCCTCTTAAATAATTCCCTGCCCCC